GTAAATTAATTGGTTTATGTGAAAGTTATAGCGTTTACAAATGGCGGTATAGATACTGACATTTTTTTTTCTTTACTAGTAATGGCGGCGATATATATATATATATATATACTGGGATTTAAATTTTTTTTTTTATACTAGTAATGGCGCTGATCAGAGACTTATAGCGGGACTACGGCGGGTATTCTGACACTGGGAGGGAACTGACTTGGTGTCACTGGCATCCTCAATGACACCAATACAGTGATCAGTGCTAATAAAAAACACTGCCACTGTACTAATGGCAGTGGGCAGGAAGGGGTTAGCAAGAGGGGCGATCAAAGGGTTAACTGTGTGCTGTTTCACAGTATGCTGTGTGTGTGCTTTCAACTGTAAGCACACTGCTTTGTATGGCTGTGCTATGCAGAGCCATACAAAGCAGTGTGCAGGACCTGACAGGAGAGATCTGTATTGTTTATATACAGTTCTCTCCCTCCGTCGGTAATGCTCAGCGATCACCAGGTGCCGGCGAGGAATCACCAGCTGGGACCCGGTGATTGACAGCCGAGGCCGCAAATAGCTGCGCGGGTAAAGCGCACGCCCCCTACCTGGAAATGCAAAATCACATATATATATATATATCTGCTAGAGGGCAGACGGGAAAGCGGTTAATACAATTGATCTGGGGGCTGGATGGAGCAGTGTCCCATACAGTACCTTCTACACTCACGGATAAAGACCCATTTCTGAGAGGCGGCAGGCATGACACTCAGCAGGACGGGGTTTAGACAGAAATATTAATTCTGTAAGGGGGCAGAATAAAGATGTTGTTGAGTGTAGAGAAAACCATGATACTGCATTAAAGGATAAGTTCACCTGTTATAAAAAAAATAATGAATGCACATTTTTTGCAGGTAAAAAAATGTACAAGATGTATGGGGTGTACAGGGATGTACGGGGTGTACGGGGATGTATGGGGATGTACGAGGTGTATGGGGTACAGGATGTACGGGGTGTACAGGGATGTACAGGGTGTACGGGGATGTATGGGGATGTACGAGGTGTATGGGGATGTACAGGATGTACGGGGATGTACGGGGTGGGGGATGTACGGGGTGTATGGGGTGTATGGGGATGTACGAGGTGACCGGGGTGTATGGGAAGTATGGGGAGTACGGGATGTACGAGGTGTACGGGAGGTGTACGAGATGTACAGGGTGTATGGGGATGTACGAGGTGGACGGGATCTACGAGGTGGACGGGATCTATGGGATGCAGGGGATCTACAGGATGTATGGGACATACAGGATCTATGGGATGTGCGTGGTGTACGGGATATATGGGGATGTACGGGGTGTACGGGATATAAGGGGATGTACGGGATGTACGGGGATCTACGGGATGTATGGGGATGTACGGGATGTACGGGGATCTACGGGATGTATGGGGTGTACGGGATATAAGGGATCTACGGGATATACGGGGTGTACGGGATATAAGGGGATCTACGGGATGTACGGGGATCTACGGGATGTATGGGGTGTACGGGATATAAGGGGATCTACGGGATATAAGGGGATCTACGGGATGTACGAACAAGCAGATATACTGACAGGAAAAATGAATGAACTACTGCGGTGCTCCACAGCTCTGTGGTAGTTCATTGAGGACTACAAGCTGACTGGGACTTGTAGTCACTCATTCACTGATGACTGTGAATGAGTGACGCGGCAGTGTGGGCGGAGCACCACACAGCCTCGTTTTTTTAATTTGACAGCTAGCAAGGGGCGAGCAGATCCCCCGCTAGTTGTCAAAGCGGGGATCGGGGCAGCGGGGGCTGGTCAGAATGTAATATGTCACATGTGACCACAGGTCAGGTGTAATGCTTTGGCCAATCACAGTGCATTATGACGTCACAATCAGCCCTTGTGACGTCATCACAGTATTTAAGAGTTGTCGTTGCGGCGCAGCTGTCAGGAGGGAGCCAGTTTCGGCGGTGGCGGTGTGCATCGTGATCGACGTTGGATCGACTTCGGGGGGACATTTTTTTTTATTTTTGTTTTCTATAAAGGACTTGTCAGAGACTGTCTGCTGTCATTTTTTTTACACTTTTTTTTTTTTTGGTGAATGCATAGCAGTACCATGTACCTCATACGCATTCACACGGCTGTGGGGAAGAGGTCCTTGTCCCCATCAACATGGGGACAAGGCGCTTTGGGGGAGGGGGAGCCCCCCTGCCCCACAGCACCCCCCATTTTGAGGGCATGTGGCCTGGTATGGTTCAGAATGGGGGGGAGCTTACTCATCCCCCCTCCCCCCTTTCCTGACCTGCATACTCGGGTAAGGGTCTGGTATGGATTTTGGTAGGGAACCCCCACATTTACAAAAAAAAAAAAAATTGGTGGGGGTTCCCCTCAAAATCCATACCAGACCCGAAGGGCTTGGTACGAATGAAGGGACTACCACACATTTTTTTTTTTTTTTTTTTTAATTTCTTGATTGTCGGGCAATGCCGACAATTCTCTTTACAGTCAGCTGTCAGTGGGGGACCCTTTGCATTTTTTTCTGACATGTTCGTGTTATATCTTTCACTTGGTTATCATGAGTAAAGACGGCTGGATAAAACAAAAACTGTGTCTGTCTTCATTTCAGGCCGCAAAGCAAGAAAATGTGGTTATTTTAAAGGGGGGGGGGGTGATTCTTTTCTTTGCCCACTGTATTTTCCTTTAGCTGAATTTCCCTGCAGTACCTTTGTCTGCCACTAGATGTCCTCATTCTGATGGCCAGCATCATTCAACTCACTTTCTCTGAGTCCAGGTCCGCCCGCCCACAGCCCGTGCCTGGACAGTAAAAGGAGAAGCAGCAACGTGGTGAGCTCATCTCTGCTCTCTCCTTCTATCAGCACGCTTCTTTTCAGCACATCAACGGATTGGCTACTTGTGCTGATTCTTCCTCTCACACTCCAGCCCTGCAAGAGGCTGATACCAGGTCATATTCAGGTGCTTCCTCTGCTTGCATTTAACCCCTCGCCCTCCTGAGGATTTTCCCCCTAACTGACCAGCCCATTTTTTGCATTACGGAGCTGCGACAATTGCGCGGTCATGCAACGCTGCACCCAAATGAAATTTACGTCCTTTTGTTCCCACAAATACAGCTTTCTTTCGGTGGTATCTGATCACCTGTGCGTTTTTTTTTATTTTTATAAACAAAAAAAGACAATTTTGAAAAAAAACCCAACACAATATTTTTGACTTTTTGCTATAAAACATATCCAATAAAAAAAAATATTAATAATAACTTGAGGCCAAAATGTATTCCGCTAATTGGTTTACGTGAAGGGTATAGCGTTTACAAATGGCGGTATAGATACTGGGATTATTATTTTTTATATATATATATATATATATATACTAGTAATGGCGGCGATCAGCGACTTATAGCGGGACTGCGGCAGACATTCTGACACTGGGGGGGAACTGACTTGGTGTCACTGACACCCCCCAGTGACACCAATACATTGATCAGTGCTAAAAAAAACCCACTGACACTGTACTAATGGCACTGGGCAGGAAGGGGTTAACATGTGAGGCGATCAAAGGGTTAACTGTGTGCTGTTTTACTAAGGAGACATGTGCAGAGAGATACACAGCAGCATGTCCTTGCTGGCAGGGGAGAGACCTGTATTGTTTACACACAGGTCTCTCCCCAACGAGTGTCGGCCAGGAATCGCCAGCAGGCACCCGGTGATTGACATCCCTAGCCGCCAATAGCAGCACGGCTAGGGTGGTGCGCACGCACGCCCCCTACCTGGAGATGCAAATCACGTATAGATATGTGATTTTGCGCAGCCCCGCCGCAGTACTTCTACTATAGGGCGGCGGGCGAGCGGTTAAACATCACCCGCTTGCCACCCAGGCCAATTCTGACATTTCTCTCCTACGTGTAAAAATCAGCATTTTATTGCTGGAAAATGACTTAAACCCCCCAAAAATGATCTATTTATTTAGACAGAGATCGGTGTGATCACATGCTTTCACGAGCCAGTAATGACTTGTTTACATCTGGGCGGAACCGGAAGTGAGGAAATCCTCTTCATTTCCTGTTTCTTAGATCATAGAGATGATCAGGGAATTTTCGGTCCTTGGTCATCTCTATGGTAAGACTGCCGGCTTCAGTCCTGGGCTCCCCGATGGGGCAGGAGAGCCCAGGAAGACACCAGGAGGGGGGGGGGACTGATTTTGCATTCCCATACAGGAGACTCACAATGTGCATTAGACGCTGCAAATACAACCCCACCTCATTTCCTGGCTGGAGGACATCTGACATCATGAAGCCCTTCTCTCCTCTAACTGTCCTCCAATTCATTGGATTTCATCTTCTTTAACCTCTTGGCGCCAGCCGAACGCAAATGTGCTGCCTCCCGGCGTCTGGGCCTAGATGCTAAGCAGCTGCACATTTGCGTTCTATTAAAAAAAGACCCTGCGCGCTCCCAGCACACGTCCGGTATTCACGGAAAGGTCCCGATCTCCTCATTCGATTGGGACCTTTCCCGATCATGTGACCGACGTGACACATAACTCTAAACCCCGCCTCCCAAAACCCTTAAAGGGCCGGAAGGCGCCAGCGCCAATGGGTTAATCAAGGAGGTTTAGGATCACATGCCAACACAGCCTGCCTAGGAACACCCACTCCTCCAGACTGACACCCACCCCTCAAGGCATTTTAATATTTGCGTAACTCCTCCCAAGAGCCCGCCCACTGCTTTCATCAGGAGTGATTACTCCTGAGAGGCAGGGTGCTGTGATGCTTTCAGAAGCTGTGTACAGCCCCTACCACCAGCCATCATCATGCCCGCATTGCATATTGAAGCACAGAGACCCAGTAATGACATCACTGGGTCAAAAAGAACATACTCAATGAAAATGGAAAAGTGTTTATTCAAGATTTTCATCAACAGGTTGATGAGTGGGGGAAGGAAAAACAAATTTTGGCTTTATTGATCCAGCCACTGCATATAGAAGTTACTGGAGGCTGGCTCCTTGTCTGAGGTCCCCCTGCAGGAACTGCGAGGCGTCGTTCAGTGTTTTCTGCATATCCTGGTACCCTGCGTATTCACAGGCCTCTCGTAGCGGCAGCCAGCGGAAGTCTTGGTGCTCATTGGACAGTCTCACCCGTGCGCCGGGGTCTCTGAGCTCCGCCAGCCAGTAGATGACAGTCTTCGCTTTGCCCTTGACATTGTAATTTAATTCCTGCCGAAATCCATCCACCACGCTGAACTGGCCGGGGTGTAGCCCCGCCTCTTCTTCGGTTTCCCGCAAAGCCGTAGTCATGTCATCCTCTCCGGGGTCCACGTGGCCTGAAATATGACAGTGCGATCAACATTGATTAGCGCCCTACAGCACCTGTGCGCAAGCAGCTCCGTGATCTACATCACGCTGTAATCTTTAACCCCTCCCCCTCCAGAGGATCCCCCCCCCCTTCCTGAGCAGGACATTATTTGTGTTACGGCGTTGCGTTACTTTAACTGACAATTGCGCGGTCATGAAACGCTGCACCCAAATTAAATTTACGTTTCTTCTTTTCCCACGAATTGAGCTTTCTTTTCGTGGTATTTGATCACCTGTGCGTTTTTATTTTTTGCACCATTAAAAAAAAAGACAGAAAATTTTGAGAAAAAAATATATTTTTGACTTTTTGCTATTAAACATGTCCAGTAAAAAAAAATGCAAAAAATCTAATTTCGTCATAAATTTAGGCCAAAATATATTCTGCTCCGTGTCTCTGCTAAAAAAAAATCCCAAAATGTATAAATAAATTGGTTTACATGAAAGTTATAGCATTTACAAATGGCGGTATATATATTTTTTATTTTTTTGCGTTTTATATATATATAAAAAAAAAGACCGACACTTTTGAGAAAAAAAAAACAATATTTTTGACTTTTTGCTATTAAACATGTCCAGTAAAAAAATGCAAAAAATCTAATTTCGTCATAAATTTAGGCCAAAATATATTCTGCTCCATGTCTTTGCTAAAAAAAATCCCAAAATGTATAAATGAATTAGTTTCCATGAAAATTATAGCATTTACAAATGGCGGTATATATATTTTTTATTTTTTGCGTTTTATATATATATAAAAAAAAAAGACCGACACTTTTGAGAAAAAAAAAACAATATTTTTGACTTTTTGCTATTAAACATGTCCAGTAAATAAATGCAAAAAATCAAATTTCGTCATAAATTTAGGCCAAAATATATTCTGCTCCGTGTCTCTGCTAAAAAAAAATCCCAAAATGTGTAAATAAATTGGTTTACCTGAAAGTTATAGCGTTTACAAATGGCGGTATATATATATTTTTTGCGTTATATATATATATAAAAAAAAAAAAAAAATAAAAGACCGACACTTTTGAGAAAAAAAAACAATATTTTTGACTTTTTGCTATTAAACATGTCCAGTAAAAAAAATTTTAAAAAATTAAATTTCATCATAAATTTAGGCCAAAATATTATCTGCTCCGTGTCTTTGCTAAAAAAAAAATCCCAAAATGTATAAATGAATTGGTTTACGTGAAAGTTATAGCGTTTACAAATGGCGGTATATATATTTTTTGCGTTATATATATATATATAAAAAAAAAGACCGACGCTTTTGAGGAAAAAAAAACAATATTTTCGTCTTGCCGGAAATCCCTTACAATAGCACTAATAAAGATTATCCCCTCGCTCTGAGGATTTCCCCCCTTCCTGACCAGGCCATTTATTGTGTTACATCCCTGCGGTACTTTAACTGACAATTGCGCGGGTCATGCAATGCTGCACCCAAATTAAATTTATGCCCTTTTTTTCCCCACAAATAGAGCTTTCTTTTGGTGGTATTAGATCGCCTGTGCGTGTTTTATTTTTTGCACCATAAAAAAAAGACTGAAAATTTTGAGAAAAAAAATATATTTTTGACTTTTTGCTATTAAACATGTCCAGTAAAAAAAATGCAAAAAAAATCTAATTTCGTCATAAATTTCAGCCAAAATATATTCTGCTCCGTGTCTTTCCTAAAAAGAAATACCAAAACGTGTAAATGAATTGGTTTACGTGAAAGTTATAGCGTTTACAAAGGGCGGTATATATATTTTTTGCGTTATATATATATATAAAAAAAAAGACCGACGCTTTTGAGGAAAAAAAACAATATTTTTGACTGTTTGCTATTAAACATGTCCAGTAAAAAAATGTTAAAAAATCTAATTTTGTCATAAATTTAGGCCAAAATGTATTCTGCTCTTATGTCCTTTTGTTCCCACAAATACAGCTTTCTTTCGGTGGTATTTGATCACCTGTGCGTTTTTTATTTTTATAAACAAAAAAAGACCGACAATTTTGAAAAAAACCCCAAAAACAATATTTTTGACTTTTTGCTATAAAACATCCAATAAAAAAAAATGTAAAAAAAATATTAAATTTAGGCCAAAATGTATTCCGCTCCGTGTCTTTGCTAAAAAAAAAAAAAATCCCGTTACGTGTAAATTAATTGGTTTATGTGAAAGTTATAGCGTCTACAAATGGCGGTATATACGTATACACTGACATTTTTTTTTCTTTTACTAGTAATGGCGGCGATCAGCGACTTACAGCATGGCTACGGCGGGCATTCTGATACTGGGGAGGGGGGGGGGGGGGGGTTGAACTGCTCCGTGTCTTTGCTAGAAAAAAAAAATCCCAATACGTGTAAATTAATTGGTTTAAGTGAAAGTTATCGCGTCACAAATGGCGGAATATATGCTGAAACTTTTTTTTCTTAATTTTTACTAGTAATGGCGGCGATCAGCGACTTCTGGCGGGACTGCGACGGGCATTCTGACACTGGAGGGGGAACTGACTTGGTGTCACTGACATCCCCAGTGACACCAATACAGGGATCAGTGCTAATAAAAAGCACCGACACTGTACTAATGGCACTGGGCAGGAAGGGGTTAATATGTGGGGCGATCAAAGGGTTAACTGTGTGCTGTTTTACTGTGGGCTGTGTCTGCGTGCTTCACTGTTGGGTATCTATTTACTCGGTGTAACATAATTTTTCATATTTTACAAAAATATCGGGAGTTATATTGTGTTTTTTTTCTTTTTATTATTCATTAACCACTCCTGAGGATTTACCCCCCTTAATGACCAGCCTTTTTTTGCTGTTTGGTGCTGCACTAATTCAAATGATAATTGCGCGGTCATGCAATGCTGCACCCAAATGAAATTTACGTCCTTTTTTTCACACAAATAGAGCTTTCTTTCGGTGGTATTTGATCACCTGTGCGCTTTTTATTTTTTGCGCTATAAACAAAAAAAATCACAAAAAATTGGAAAAAAAACCTATACTTTCTACTTTCAGCTATAAAAAATATACCGTAAACTCAAAGTTAGTCATAAATTTAAGCCAAAATGTATTCTGCTACATGTTTTTGGTAAAAAAAAATCCAGTGCATTAGCGGGCAAACTGGCGCTATATGGGAGGGGCGCTAACACTATCGGAAGTCACCAGCGACACTGATACAGTGATCAGTAAAAATCTGTTTACTGTAATCAATGACACTGGTGACAGGGCAGTGAAGGGGTTAACGGGGGGGGTGGGGGGGGCGATCAAGGGGTTAAATGGGATTACTGGCGGGCAAACTGGCGCTATCTGGGAGGGGTGCTAACACTATCGGAAAGTCACCAGCGACACTGATACAGTGATCAGTAAAAATCGATTCACGGATCAGTGACAATGGTGACAGGGCAGTGAAGGGGTTAACTCTGGGGGGGGGGGGGGGGCGATCAGGGGGTTAGATGGGATTACTGGTGTATTAGTGGGAAATCTGGCGCTATCTGGGAGGGGCGCTAACACTATCGGAAGTCGCCAGCGACACTGATACAGTAATCAGTAAAAGTCGGTTCACTGATCAGTGACACTGGTGACAGGGCAGTGAAGGGGTTAACTGGGGGGGGGATTAAGGGGTTAAACGGGATTACTGGTGTACTGGCGGGCAAACTGGCGCTATCTGGGAGGGGCGCTAACACTATCGGAAGTCGCCAGCGACACTGATACAGTGATCAGTAAAAATCGATTCACGGATCAGTGACACTGGTGACAGGGCAGTGAAGGGGTTAACTGGGGGGGGGGGGGCGATCAGGGGGTTAAATGAGTCCTAGGTGTGTTCTAACTGTGGGTATGTGCTGTTTTACTCATGATTTGTATGTCTTTTTCTCTGTCTGGAACGGAATGTGTCCAGGCAGAGAAGAATGACATCATATCCTGTCCTGTGTAAATGTCAACACAGGACAGGATAGGACAGGGACCGATCATCCGATTTCAGCCAGACATCACTGGCTGAAATCTAATGATTGATCCCTCCGGGATCAAATGTGGTCACCCGCGGGTCGGCGGGAGCGCGCGCGCGCGTGCCCCCTGCCGGTGAAAACGTCGGGAGCGCGGAGCCCGTTTTAAAACGTGGTTTTGCGCCTAGTGCCGCCCTGCACACGTATATATACAGTGGCAGGGCGTCAAGCGGTTAAAGTGTTTTTTTCAAAAAGAATCGTGTTTGAAAAATATATACATTTTTAAAAACTGTCTATTTCAGTTTCGGTTTTTCTGTGCATCCTGAATTTTTGGTTTTGGCACCAGAACTTTCATTTCGGTGCGCCACTAATGCAGGCCATAGATGGGTCAAAAATCAGCTGATTTTTCGCCCGTAAAAAAAAAATCGGCTGATTTTCGCACCGTTAGTGAGTTAATTGGTCGGGCGTTTTTTCGGGGTTTTGGCACATTTTTTTTAATCGGTAAAGTTGGAAAAAAAATCGTCCGATATTACCTATCTGCCGAATTTCCTAGCAATGGGAGGAGGAGGATTCCAGTCCGCTATTATATTTGACATGAAAAAGTCTTGCAGTTGTAACAATGTATCCATTTGTATCCGAATAAAAACATCTGTATCCGAAATGGATACAAATGGATACATTGTTGCAACCGCAAGACTTTTTCATGTCAAATATAATAGTGGAGCTCTCTGCAGGGACAGAAGTAAAAATGCCGTCCGTAGACAGGACAAAAATCGGCCGATTTTTTTTACCGTTGGTGGTAACGTTGGCCGATCGAATGACTGTTTTTTGTTTTTTTTTTTTTTTTTTAAAAACGTCCGGTTTTCGACCCGTCTATGGCCGGCATTACAGATATTAATAGATATCTGAGGGATGGCAGCCGTGGCAGCCCACAGTCGGTACCTTTGGGTGGAGTCCAGTGATGTTTCCCATAGGAAGTCTGCAATAAGAGGAATTCGATATTGTTCGCTGGCGGAACCCTCCGGAAGACGATTAATCCGCACGCCCTCAGTGCCATCTTCCCCCCGACGTGCTGGAACAAAGCAGATTACAACCCACCCGGGTGATATGAATACACGGAGCATCACTGGGACGCATCACAACATGGGGAAATCGATCAAACGCACTGAGGCTTCATGCACATGGCTGCACGGAGGAAAGGAGGAGTACCGTGGAAAGGAGGAGTACGGAGGAAAGGAGGAGTACGGAGGAAAGGAGGAGTACGGAGGAAAGGAGGAGTACGGAGGAAAGGAGGTGACCGGAAAGGAAAGGAAAGGAGTACGGAGGAAAGGAGGTGTACAGAGGAAAGGAGGTGACGGAGGAAAGGAGGTGTACGGAGAAAGGAGGAGTACAGAGGAAAGGAGGTGTACGGAGGAAAGGAGGAGTACAGAGGAAAGGAGGTGTACAGAGGAAAGGAGGAGTACAGAGGAAAGGAGGTGTACAGAGGAAAGGAGGTATATAGAGGAAAGGAGGTATATAGAGGAAAGGAGGAGTACAGAGGAAAGGAGGTGTACAAAGGAAAGGAGGTGACAGGAGGAAAGGAGGAGTACGGAGGAAAGGAGGTGACCGGAGGAAAGGAGGAGTGACGGAGGAAAGGAGGAGTACGGAGGAAAGGAGGAGTAAGGAGGAGGAAGGAAAGGAGGTACGGAGGAAAGGAGGAGTACGGAGGAAAGGAGGAGTACGGAGGAAAGGAGGTGACCAGAGGAAAGGAGGAGGTACGGAGGAAAGGAGGTGTACGGAGGAAAGGAGGTGACCAGAGGAAAGGAGGAGTACGGAGGAAAGGAGGAGTACGGAGGAAAGGAGGTGACCAGAGGAAAGGAGGAGTACGGAGGAAAGGAGGAGTACGGAGGAAAGGAGGTGACCGGAGGAAAGGAGGTGAACGGAGGAAAGGAGGTGACCGGAGGAAAGGAGGTACGGAGGAAAGGAGGAGTAAGGAGGAAAGGAGGAGTAAGGAGGAAAGGAGGAGTACGGAGGAAAGGAGGTGTACCGGAGGAAAGGAAGTGTAAGGAGGAAAGGAGGTGACCGGAGGAAAGGAAGTGTACGGAGGAAAGGAGGTGACCGGAGGAAAGGAGGAGTAAGGAGGAAAGGAGGTGACCGGAGGAAAGGAGGAGTAAGGAGGAAAGGAGGAGTATGGAGGAAAGGAGGTGTACGGAGGAAAGGAGGTGACCAGAGGAAAGGAGGAGTACGGAGGAAAGGAGGTGACCGGAGGAAAGGAGGTGACCGGAAAAGGAGGTGACCGGAGGAAAGGAGGTGTACGGAGGAAAGGAGGTGACCAGAGGAGGTGAAGGAGGAAGAGGAGTACGGAGGAAAGGAGGTGTACGGAGGAAAGGAGGAGTACGGAGGAAAGGAGGAGTACGGAGGAAAGGAGGTGACCGGAGGAAAGGAGGTGACCGGAGGAAAGGAGGAGTACGGAGGAAAGGAGGAGTACGGAGGAAAGGAGGTGTACGGAGGAAAGGAGGTGACCAGAGGAAAGGAAGTCTACGGAGGAAAGGAGGTGACCGGAGGAAAGGAGGTGACCGGAGGAAAGGAGGAGTATGGAGGAAAGGAGGTGTACGGAGAAAAGGAGGTGTACGGAGGAAAGGAGGTGTACGGAAGAAAGGAGGAGTACGGAGGAAAGGAGGTGTACGGAGGACAGGAGGAGTATGGAGGAAAGGAGGTGACTGGAGGAAAGGAGGAGGGAGGAAAGACTGGAGGAAAGGAGGAGAGTACGGAGGAAAGGAGGTGTACGGAGGAAAGGAGTGGAGGAAAGCAGGTGACTGGAGGAAAGGAGGAGTACGGAGGAAAGAAGGTGACTGGAGGAAAGGAGGAGTACGGAGGAAAGGATGTGTATGGAGGAAAGCAGGTGACTGGAGGAAAGGAGGAGTACGGAGGAAAGGAGGAAAGGAGGAGTACGGAGGAAAGGAGGTATATAGAGGAAAGGAGGAGTACGGAGAAAAGGAGGTGCACGGAGGAAAGGAGGTGCACGGAGGAAAGGAGATGTACGGAGGAAAGGAGGAGTACGGAGGAAAGGAGGTGCACGGAGGAAAGGAGATGTACGGAGGGAGGAAGGAGGAGTACGGAGGAAAGGAGATGTACGGAGGAAAGGAGGTGACTTGAGGAAAGGAGGAGTACGGAGGAAAGGAGGTGCATGGAGGAAAGGAGGTGTACGGAGGAAAGGAGATGTACGGAGGAAAGGAGGAGTACGGAGGAAAGGAGGAGTACGGAGGAAAGGAGGAGTACGGAGGAAAGGAGGAGTACGGAGGAAAGGAGATGTACGGAGGAAAGGAGGAGTACACAATAACCCCAGGTTCACACTATGGATTTCAACCCGATTTTCCAGTTTTCAGGAACACCCTACAGTCGGTGTCACATGGTTTCCTCTGGATCTAGTTCACATGGGTGTGTTTCCTGGAAGGGATCAGGGACTGTTCCCTGCAGTAGATTGCTTTCTCCATGTAATACACTTCAATGGGCTGCACCAAAAAAATGCACATATTGTGTTTTTTTGATGCCTTTTGCTGCTTTTTTTTTTGTCAATGGAAAGTAATGACTTTGATGCCACTTTGGATGGGTGTGACTTGGGTGTGACTTTGGATGGGTGTGACTTGGGATGGGTGTGACTTTGGGATTGGTGTGACTTTGGATGTGACTTTGGATGGGTGTGACTTGGATGTGACTTTGGATGGGTGTGTGACTTGGGTGTGACTTTGGATGGGTGTGACTTGGGTGTGACTTTGGATGGGTGTGACTTGGGATGGGTGTGACTTTGGATGTGACTTTGGATGGGTGTGACTTGGGTGTGACTTTGGATGGGTGTGACTTGGGATTGGTGTGACTTTGGATGTGACTTTGGATGGGTGTGACTTGTATGTGACTTTGGATGGGTGTGACTTGGGTGTGACTTTGGATGGGTGTGACTTGGGTGTGACTTTGGATGGGTGTGACTTTGGATGGGTGTGACTTGGGATGGGTGTGACTTTGGATGGGTGTGACTTGGGTGTGACTTTGGATGGGTGTGACTTGGGATGGGTGTGACTTTGGATGGGTGTGACTTGGGTGTGACTTTGGATGGGTGTGACTTGGGATGGGTGTGACTTTGGATGTGACTTTGGATGGGTGTGACTTGGGTGTGACTTTGGATGGGTGTGACTTGGGATTGGTGTGACTTTGGATGTGACTTTGGATGGGTGTGACTTGGATGTGACTTTGGATGGGTGTGACTTGGGTGTGACTTTGGATGGGTGTGACTTGGGTGTGACTTTGGATGGGTGTGACTTGGGATGGGTGTGACTTTGGATTGGTGTGACTTTGGATGTGACTTTGGGATGGGTGTGACTTGGATGTGACTTTGGATGGGTGTGACTTGGGTGTGACTTTGGATGGGTGTGACTTGGGTGTGACTTTGGAATGGGTGTGACTTGGGATGGGTGTGACTTTGGATGTGACTTTGGATGGGTGTGACTTGGGTGTGACTTTGGATGGGTGTGACTTGGGATTGGTGTGACTTTGGATGTGACTTTGGATGGGTGTGACTTGTATGTGACTTTGGATGGGTGTGACTTGGGTGTGACTTTGGATGGGTGTGACTTGGGTGTGACTTTGGATGGGTGTGACTTTGGATGGGTGTGACTTTGGGATGGGATGGGTGTGACTTTGGATGGGTGTGACTTGGGTGTGACTTTGGATGGGTGTGACTTGGGATGGGTGTGACTTTGGATGGGTGTGACTTGGGTGTGACTTTGGATGGGTGTGACTTGGGATGGGTGTGACTTTGGATGTGACTTTGGATGGGTGTGACTTGGGTGTGACTTTGGATGGGTGTGACTTGGGATTGGTGTGACTTTGGATGTGACTTTGGATGGGTGTGACTTGTATGTGACTTTGGATGGGTGTGACTTGGGTGTGACTTTGGATGGGTGTGACTTGGGTGTGACTTTGGATGGGTGTGACTTTGGATGGGTGTGACTTGGGATGGGTGTGACTTTGGATGGGTGTGACTTGGGTGTGACTTTGGATGGGTGTGACTTGGGATGGGTGTGACTTTGGATGGGTGTGACTTGGGTGTGACTTTGGATGGGTGTGACTTGGGATGGGTGTGACTTTGGATGGGTGTGACTTGGGATGGGTGTGACTTGGGATGGGTGTGACTTTGGATGGGTGTGACTTGGATGTGACTTTGGATGGGTGTGACTTTGGATGGGTGCTACGTTGATGCTACTTCATTGCCAGAAAGTGTAAAGTTGCATCAAAGTCCCAACATTGCACTACATGAGTTTGCATGTTCTCCCTGTGCCTGTGTGTTTCCTCCGGGTACTCCGGTTTCCTCCCACACTTCAAAGACATCCTGTTAGATTAATTGGCTCCTGTCTAAATTTTCCCTAGTATGTATATGTATGAATGTGAGTTAGGGACCTTAGATTGTACGCTCCTCGGGGGCGGGGCCTGATGTGAATGTACAATATATATGTAAAGCGCGGTGTAAATGGACGGCGCTATAGAAGTCCCTGAAATACATAATTAGGGGGGACAATAGATCAGGAGTGGGATGGCGGTGCGGTTTGGTATCTTCTCTCTGGGCGTTGGAGGCCCTTGTCCCGGCACGGAGGGGATGGTAATACATGGGGAATAACAACCAGGAAATTATGCGGATGAAGTCCAGCCTCCCATTCATGTCACTCCGACTCCTGCTAAAGTCGGACTCCTCCCTACCCGGCCCCTGTCATGGTGTTCCCCTTTAATCCCATGGAAGACACGCGGTCAGGAATCATCTCCCCTCCACACAATGGAACTACACCCACCCACTTCCCATACATACCAGCTCCTCGCCTCACTGCGCATGCGCCTATCGAACCGGAAAGACGCCGTTTCGTTCCTGCCAGCACGCGAGGAGGAGGAAGAAGTTGGCCGGCCATATTGAGTGAGGGCAATGTGTGGGAAAAGTGGTGAGGCGAGGCGGTGCTGTGACGGTCAGTGAATCTACTAAACTCGTTTCTGTTGTTGTGGGGTGTCGCTGTTGGTAGACATGGGGTGTGATTACAA